GATATGAACAATGATCGTTGTATAAAAGGACACTGTGGAAAGGGTATAAATTACTTAACCTTAAAATATCAGGTTGTCGTTCATTTTCTCCACATGTATTCTGGGATGTCTATACATTTATAAATTCTCTTTTGTTTTCCTTTGGTGGATTTTATATCAATATGTAATCTTTGCTCGTAAAAGGGCTTTCATTGAAAGAAAATTTCGGGGAAATAAACTTGAAAGGAAATAATCGTAAAAGTTATTTAAACTCCAGTTATTCCGGATAAAGATGGAGGAGTTGCTTATCTTTGAACACAACGATCACTTCGTTGAGAATTCAAGTAAAGTAGGAAATGAAACAGTCAGATTGGTTCGGGGACTACCTTTAAAATTTATGGATAAGTGTACTTTTCTTTAATTCAACGAACTGGATCGGAGTTTGTATGTTGTTCAATTTCCCTCTCGAGAATTTTTCACTCATATGCTGACGTTACCACTTGTCGATGGAGAGCTGCAAAACCTCGCAACTCTAGAGCAATACTGGAAGTAAAACCAACACTATTTCTACAAAGCACTAGATACCGATTTCTAGTTTTATTCTCCATCTTCCTCCATATGGTTAGAATAGGTCCTCAGTACCCCCCTGCTTGTCGTAAAAGGCGACTAAATGGGGCCATGAGTTGGATGAGACCGTATAAATAAAGTTGAGTGTTCACAGCAGGTGTGGCACGATAAAGATCCCTCCCTGCTCAAAGGTATATCCGACTACATGTGTATGTGTATAAGTTGTAATTCAATATGAAAGGGCAGTTGATAGAATATTCTTCAGCATCCATATTAAACTTTTTTTTAAATTTATTTTTAAGAGAACTTGTAAGTTTTTTTCCTTGTTCATGAATTGTCAGTCATCCTAGAGCATTGTGTATGTTTTATAAACCACAAAATTATATTTAAAAAATTATTTAAGTTGTATTAGCAATAAAAAAAGAAACAAGACAAAGTATATTTGTAAAATTAGAAAAACATTTATTAACTGGAATGGTGGAGATGATAAACAGATAACAATCATTCATGAAAATAACAATGGTATTCAATCACACAATCACTACAACGCACACACTCGCCCTCACAAGCATACTGTCAAAAATGTAACAATACGGGGATACGATTGCCAGTAGAAGGAAATCGGTCACCAAAACAATCTTTTTTTTTTTTCAGTAGGGTGATCATCCTTTGTAATGGTGAGTTTTTATTCTCTCTCCGCAATTACCACTTCTGTTCCACCGCCTTCACACAAACAACTTTCTTTCGACACTTAACTTGTTTAACAAGATCATTTATGTATTTCTAAACGTGGCTTATACTAAAACGAATAAATAACAATATGGCTAAAAACAATCAGCATTTCCTAAACATAAAAAAATTGAGCGGTTTATTCTTAATTTGATAAACATATTCTACAGTTTCAATAGCAGACAAAAACAAAACCATTTAAAACAAAATAAAAAGAATACCAAAGTAATAAAATGTTGCTATGGAGTTTGAGGTGGTTTCTTTTGTGATGATATCAACATCAATTTTGTACATACACAAATGGAAAAAGACTGTATAAACAAGTATATCTAACATATTTGACTTTCAAATCTCACATTTACTATCAAGTCCCTTATTGTGAAAAAAAACCTTTTACAAGTGTAGAGGAAAAACACATCAGTTGACATGTAACAAGGCAATCAGTTCAATTTGTATTCCTATCAAGTTAAACTAAAATCTTGAAGTTTTATGTTGACAGTATGGAAAATTAAAATGATTTAATACACTACAAAAACCATGATACAAGAATAATGGGTAGATTGTATATCATTCTCGTAAAAACTAAATGGTCTGCTAGAAATTTTGGGGTTGCATATATGCATTTATGTCATGATATTACTTTCGTTCGCACAAGTCGTAAGAGCGAGTTAGGTTTCAAATATTGCTAGTTAAAGATTGCCCTAATCAGAGCAACTAACAACATTCCTGAAGATTCTAAAACTACGTGTAAATATTTACAGGTGTTCCTTTTTCCAAAAGGCAGAAGATGGAATTCGATCTAATTGACGCGTCAGTCGAGTTAAAAAAGAGAGTTATGGTTCCCTGGGTCCTTAAGATACAGCAATGATATCTAAATTTAACTTAAGAAGAGAAATAGCACAGCTTAATTAGCAAAACGAAATATGAGTCATAAAGTTTTCTGGGTGGGAATTTTGGATATAGTTCCCAGAAATTCGCAATTTAAAATAGAATAATTTATACAATTATGTATCTCTAATTGAGATTTTAAAAAAAGGTTTAATATGAATATGTAGGTATACATTTGTATTATGGAAGAGAATACTCTACATACTGGTTAAAAAATGTTAATATGATATGAATGATGGTGTTAAGGATTCAATCTCTCTCCTGATGTAAGTTTGGAGGGTAATGTGAACACACACAATCATGCTTGTTTGATATATACAAAAGTTGCATTGTCAAGTTCAGGGACACGTGAATAGAAATGGAAATGTTCTTGAAGTAGGAAACAATTGTATCATCGTTTTATCTTCTGTACACACTGAAACACAAAGTGAACTTGCTATGTACCCTGATGCTCCCATGTTTCATGTATGTTTCCAGGAAGCATGAATGATAAAATGATATAAATACATGTCTGATACAGCTATTTCTGACATACTGTTTTATTCCTGAACAAGCATTTGCTTCGTGTCTGGTTGTTTCACAACCTTGGAGTTCCCAACACTTTGGCAAGTCAACATTTCATGAATTTGTAATCTTATACAGTCATTTTGTTACATCATGTTTTCTTGGAATTATTTCTGTTAACTTTTTCCATGCTCTCATCCTCGACCAAACAGCGCTATGAGAAAGATCATCTCATCGTTGAAGTTCTTAAGACTTCATGATTTGTCCATTTGATCCATTTAACAAATTTTAGATCGGTATTCCTGAATTCTCAATTAGAAATGTGGTTCATTGTCTTTGCTCAATAGGACGCCTTGCTTATCTTAAGATGAACTTTAAAAACGTTCTACTCATCTCATAACTCTGTCACAGGCCCAGAAGGGTTATATTGCTTTGGAGATCCATTTAAAACGATTTTGTCTTTATCATGTCTATGTGTGACTCTCTGGAGAGTTAAAGTTCTGTCCACAGACACTTCTCTCTCAACATTCTCCTCGGAAGGAGGTTTCCCATTCGAATCTAAAGAATTTTTCTTCCTCGATGACTTCATTCTTGAAAGTTCATTTTGCACGTTTAACACGATGTCTTTTCTCACTTCTTTTGCCTTGTCTTTGGCAATATTGTGTACTTCCGTGGCCTTTTCTCGTGCCTTTGTTCTCATTTCCGTAGCCTTCGTCCTGGCTCGGACTTTTGCTTTACCCCATTGTTCTCCAGCAATTTTCATGTGTTTTCTACCAACAATACTCATTTTATCTCTAGCTTTGTCCATCTGTACTTTAGCTTTATCTATTGTCACATTTAAATAGTCAACACCGACATTTATACACATGGATACAAGCGCCAATCCGAGAAAAAGGTAGATTGAAGACACCAAGAAATACTCTGGTTGACCAGGTACAATGTCGCCAAAACCTATGGTACTTATTGAAATGAATACGTAATAAAAGGAATCGATGAAATTCCACTGTTCTAAAATCATGTAGAAGCAGGTCCCTAAGAAGATATATATTAACATTATAACAGAGGCGATAGGAAGGGGCAGGTTAAAATTCTCGTCAATTTCAAAATCATTCATATCGTGTGACTCCTTTGACGTCACAGAGTCCCCGCATGCGCTCTCCGTTTCCTCTGTTTCTGGAACCATCAGTGTAACATGTTGGATGTTGTTTCCGTGGAGAGTGCTTTCAGTTTCTTCTGTTTCGGGTACCACCAATGTAATTTGTTGAATGCCATTTCCATGAAGTGTCACCTGCTCAAGTGACGATTCCGCCATTATCTGCGCAGCTTCCTCTAAAACTGCCAGCGGAAGTTCTGTTGAACCTATGACATCAGTACCTGCCTCAATATCAATGGTTTCGGAAGTTTCGTTGTTTTCTTTGTCTACAGGGGACTCCCGACGACCTCGAAGTCGCCTAACAGATCTTACAGATGCCTTCCGTAGAGCTGTTTTCCCGCGTTGAAACCCGCTCTTCATATATGTACTTCCCGTCTGGCGTACTTTTATGCAATATCCAGTGTAATAGTATCTTCTTACAAATTTCCACAGAAACTTTAAACCCACGGTTAACTTTTTGCCGACTTCTGCTAACACCATTAAAGCTAAAGGTATCCCAATTGTCGCATAAAAGATTGTCATAACTTTTCCGAAGTCTGTGTTTGGTGTGATGTGACCATAACCTGCAATGAAAGACAAACATCATTAACATTTTTGATTTTTTTTTTATGATATGTTATAACAGTATATGTATAACAGGGGAGCAGAGATATTTTTTCATGAGACTCCAGCTTTTGTAATCTATCGATATTCTTCCAGAATGGTACAATACACTGGGGGAGAGGGTGTTCGACAATTAAACATAAAGAGAATAACAATAAATACTACTATGATAGAGAAAAAAAAATATAATCCAGACAAGAGCAGACACCTATAGGTGAAATTAAAGATTTGGCAGACATTCTAAAACCCAAACCACGACCAATACGTCTGGACCAACCAGTTGTATCCTCGGATAATGGTAGTTGTTTTTGGCAAAAGTCGCATTAACTACCTCATACCAATACTTATACTTTATTTATATAGAATTAACAGGAATGTTTTATTTTTTTTGAAAAGACAGTAGGCGTGTGTAATTTTTAATGGATATATATTGGATAATTCTTTTACAGTTCTAATCCAAATTGGAAATGACATGATATTAAATAACACGGTATCACCGATATCAATATTATCTAAAACGTTAGAACGCCAACCATTACTGTATATTGCAATGTTAAATTTACTAGGTGGAGATAATTAAATGCGATATTTACAAGCATTATGTTGCACATTTTGCATTTATGTTAACCTTGTAAATTCAAAATTTACAACATGATGTAGGTGAAGTGAGCAAAATTCAGAAAATCAACTCTGTGCTCTTTATTCAAGTATCCTTTAATTCTTGCAAAAAAGATGTCCATTCCAGGAATGTATATGATTAAGAAATTAATAAGATGGTGCCTCTTTTACCCTAGAACCAGTTGCTAAGCTAATCAATAAATTATTGTCATTCGTGTTTACATAGTTTTTCCTCGTTTCTAGGCGCCGTTGTGTAGAAGAATGCTGTTCTACGTTTTTGCTGTTTTCGTGTCTAGTAAATCTGCATGTTTTATAACAGTCTGGATAAGATTTGCTTCACTTTCTTTGAATCTTAATTTTATTGCGAACAGATAGCTTGCTTTCAACATAAAATCTTCTCTGAGATTAGTTTCCAAATTGCAGAGTTAAACACCATCTGACGTATTTTTTTCTATTGAAGAAAGAAGATGCAAAGCATTATCGTTTCCAAAAATCTTCTACCTCGTTTACTAAATGCACAGCAAATTAGTTCTACAAGTGAACGAATTAAAACTGAAAATGAAAAGGATGAGTAAAAGATTTGTCTATTTTCATCAATTTAGACAATCTCCTCAAAGATGTTATGCACAAGTCTACATTTACAGAAGCAACAACTATGCAAATATTATTACCATTCAAGCACCCTTAAAAGTTGAGAACATTTTTTAAACAATGGCTATGATAAAAATATATCATATCGTATCGCAAAATCAACCAAAATCTAGAGAGATACTGGGCGATTTCGAGGAGTCATAATTAGTATGATTATGGCGTCACAGAGATGGTTATGACTGCCTTTGTTCTGGGATCACTTACATGGCTCCAACTCGTCTAATAATATAACGCACAGGACATGGAAAGGTCAACTAATGCCGCGGTATGGTAACGTTATCAGTATAACGAACCGTTAACGATATTAATATCATACAGCAGAAAACGCCCTAGTGTCAGCAAGAACATAATGTTATTCCATGTTGTGCATGTAAAATGTACCTAACAGATTTACGTCCCTCCAAAAAAAAATTTCAATTAGCAAACATTTGACAAAAACTGATATTTCGAAATTTTATGTTTAATTATATTATTTCTTGGAAGTCAATTGATCGCTAAGTTTGCTTGCAAATGGAATGTTTTCCTATTAGAAGCAAAATGCAATTTAATCTAACTTCTTTTATGTGACATTAATCTTTTTAGCTGAAATAGTTTTTGTTCCTCTTCCATTCCGAAATGATCGGATTTTTCTTTTCTACTCTAGTTCGAAGTATTTTAATTTCCTAAAGTTTTAATGGCGAACTGGAAATAATTTGGCAAAGGAAAGGTCATACTTGCCATTAACATTTAATTGGATTCGGAGAGGAATCAATTGCAGCAACTTATAAGGGCTAATTGCTAACATTCAATGGCCATGCATTCTGTCGAGTATATGAAATAAAAACTTTCACATACACAGAAAATACATTACATTTGCAGAATTTTCAAAAAAGCTTAAATATACGCGTGCACTTTAATTTAAGCTTTGTCAAATACATTTTTGTATAGTGGTTTGATTAATTATCTATGAATGATTCGTAATTCCGAAGGTAGAAATATATAAGCCTCTACCTTTTGGTAAATTTTTCGATATATTTTAAATAAATCGTGCTCCAAATGTAATAACTAGGACCTTTTGTTAAACTTCTTTAAATTGTCCCTTTTCTGTACAAAAAAAATTGACAATATCTACAAATCTGATGCTCGGCTACAAATACCACTCACTGTATACACGCTATAGTTTCGATTAAAAATCAGATATTATATTCACATACGTTAATCAAAAGCAATTGCCATTTATCTCAAAACATTAATCGGTCATAAACTTCCAAATTTCTCGGACAAAAACGCGTCAATCGGACAATGGGTCCCTGAACTGGGACCCTGGTTTCCTGTGTGTTTAACCAAAATTAGCAACAAATTCAAAATAACGGATGAAAATTAAATTGTAGGACTTTTAATAATTTGGTTAAACAGGGGCAATGGGTCTTCTTTAACTTTGATGTGACAAGGATTACATTGTTTTCATTTTCGTTTTTTATGGTTTGTGTTCATTTGATTTACCCAAGGGATTTTGCCCTTCCTTAAGTTTCACTACATCATTTTTTTTCATTATAATTGTAAAAAAAAAAGTTTTAACCCATCTTATTTACTGTCTCAAAACATGTTTCTAATCTTGTACCAAGGTTAACCAACTAGTGAAATCTTCATAGTTCACGCGAGACATACACGTGCTGGTGTTTATTTGTCTGTCGGTGATGCTTAGGCAATAGATAAGTTAATCCTATTCAAGGTTATCAAAATTTTTTTAATCTTGAACCAAATATTTTCCCAGTTTTTTTAACTTATTGGTATTTTCGAAGACAAGAAAAAATTATCTGCAATTAACATGGAAATATAATGAGTAAATATAAAATGTCTCATTTCACAGAAATAAATTAAACGGTCAATTGATTTGGAGCAAATGATTACAATCAGCCTTGCGGCAGCATTCCGATAAAGATGTTATTATTATTAGAGATTTTTGTAATGTTAAATAAACGTTCAATTTATCTATTATTTTCTAGGATCACAACCTAGTAAACTATATAAATATAAAACATAATGGAATCTTCTGCAACCGCTACCGAGGGGAATTCTTAAAAAACAAGAGACCCACGGGCCTTATAGGTCACCTGTGTATTGTGTAACAACTTTCAAACAATCAAATTTGGTTCGTATTTTAAACCAGAGATCATGAAATTCACAATTTTGTAAGAGGCACCATTGCTTATCTTAATCATAAACTTAGCATGCTTAATCTATTTACTTAATACCCAGAGGTAGATCAGAGTAACAAAGAGAAAATGCACTTCCACTTTATCAGTGCACCTCATCCCAAAGGAACCACTGATCCTGGGGCCACATATTTCAAAATTTTGCAAATTTTATCATAAAACGGTTGATTAATACCAAAGAGCAGATTTTAAAGCATTAATTAATTTATATTCAGACTATGTAACCCCCTCCCCCCGACCTAGGGGGGGGCATAAAAAAAATCCAAAAACAACTTTGGAAGAGGCAATCTTGCTAATCATAACTATGTGCTTAGTTAGTTTATTTAATACCCAGGAGCAGAGAAGATTTTCAAAAAATTAATGCATTTTCATTATATAATCAATAGAGCCCCGCCCTAACACCAGAACCCCTGGCCCTGGGGTCGTAAAATTCACAACTTTGGAAGAGGCACTCTTGCTAATCATAAATATGTGCTTAGTCTGTTTATTTAATACCCAGGAGCAGAGAACAAGATTTTCAAATAATTAATGCATTTTCACTATATAATCAATAGAGCTCCGCCCTAACACCAGAACCTCTGACCCTGGGGCCATAGAATTCACAAATTTGGAAGAGGCATTTTTGCTCATCATAACTATGTACTTAGTTGGTTTATTTTATACCCAGAAGCAGAGAAGAAAATTTTCAAAGAATAAATGCATTTTCACTATATAATCAATAGAGCCCCGCCCAAACACCAGAACCCCTGACCCTTGGGCCATAAAATTCACAATTCTGGAAAAGGCATTCTTGCTCATCATAACTATATACTTAGTTAGTTAACTCAATACCCAGGAGCAGAGAAGGAGATTTTCAAAGAAATAATGCATTTTCACTATATAATCTATATAGCCCCGCACTAGCACTAGCACTAGAACCCCTGAACCTAGGGCCATGAATTTCATAATTTTGGTAGAGGACTCAATGGTCATTACATTCACGCAAACAGTTTGACTGCTTGATGTCCAGGAGTAAAGAAGATTTTTAAAGATTGCAATAATTTTTGTGGTTTTGGCCCCACCCCACAGGCCCCAGGGGGGCAGGGACCATAAAATTCAGAATTTATGTTTCCCTTCACCCATAGATGCTGTATACCAAATTTGGTTGAAATTGGTTCAGTGGTTTCAGAGAAGAAGCTGAAAATGTTCAAATGTTAACACAAGACGCACGACACAAGACGACGGACGTAAACGGATAGCAATAGGTCACCTGAGTTGACCTAAAAAGATCGGTTGTTTGATAGAAAACTTCTGAGATGAAACTAACTTTATAAAATTGAAAATCTAGAAGAAATTTAAATGTCCTTATATTTATTGGCAATAATTTATATCAACGTATAAATTATCGCAAGATTTTCAAAACAAAATAAACATAAAACATGTAAAATGATTAAAACGTTGTTTACCAGTATCATGGTAATTTAATGTAATTCAAAAATCTCAGAAACAAAAAAGAC